GCCTTTTCGATGTTTATTATATAAAAAACCATCAAAGACAAACCAATTTTAAAAATATTAATATAGTTATAAAATTTTACAGTGAGCCAAGTTCAATTTACTTTTACTGTACTAACTCGCTGAGAACTATGATAGAGAAAATTAATATGTTTGCTGTTTATCTCTGAACATATATTGTAATGTTTTAAATAAAATTAACATGTTTCATGTTTATCTACTGTACTAACTCGCTGAGAACTATGATAGAGAAAATTAATATGTTTGCTGTTTATCTCTGAACATATATTGTAATGTTTTAAATAAAATTAACATGTTTCATGTTTATCTCTGAACATATATGGTAATGTTTTAAATAAAATTAATATGTTTGCTGTTTATCTCTGAACATATATGGTAATGTTTTAAATAAAATTAACATGTTTCATGTTTATCTCTGAACATATATGGTAATGTTTTAAATAAAATTAACATGTTTCCTGTTTATCTCTGAACATATATTGTAATGTTTTAAATAAAATTAACATGTTTCATGTTTATCTCTGAACATATATGGTAATGTTTTAAATAAAATTAACATGTTTCATGTTTATCTCTGAACATATATGGTAATGTTTTAAATAAAATTAACATGTTTCATGTTTATCTCTGAACATATATTGTAATGTTTTAAATAAAATGAGAAATGCTGACTTTAACCGTATTGTTATTTTCCGCTAAAATATAAAATGGATTAAAGGAACAATAAAATAGAAAATGCGCCAACTGAATCTTTAAAAAGTGTCCAATAGAACTAGAATACAATAAAACCCTGTATAAGATCTGATGAGACTGTGCGTGTGTGTATATGGAGAGTTGTGTTTCAACTGAAAGTATCGGAAGAAAATGGTGAGGGAGAGGATGGGGAGGATAGAGAGGATGAGAGGATGTGAGGATGTGAGGATGTGAGGATGAAAAGAAGAGGCTGTATGACACACAACACCGGCTTTACACCAATATACATCGTAAACAAATTTAATTTCAAACCCCTCAGGATAAAACGCCAAGTTCGATCCAAGGTGAGTGCAACATACAACTTTAATAATACAAAAAACTTTGTCATTTTATGACAACAGAAACTATGCAATATTATTTATATATTTAATTTCAGAAATTGAGATAAAAAATGTCAATATATGGGGGGGGGGGAAGGCTGATTTTCCCCCCTCCCTTCCTAGGATTTTGAGTTATAAGATAGAGGGAGGGATACATTCCGACTATTGAATAATTTACTTTTTACCCAATGCGATTAAATAAAAATTTTCGCAGTTCTTAATTACTCTAGTTTTGCAAAGTGAAAGTTGAGTGCTTTGTTCAAGCTGTTGTATGCTTTGGGGAAACACCCCCCCCCCCACCCCACCCCAGAATAGGATTAAAAAAAAAGAACTACATTTGATTTAATCTTCTTGAAATAAAATAATAATCACTTTTTTGAGTTGTAGATAATTCTTAAATTATGGATTTTTACAAAGGTTGGTGGATGTTTTTCATAAGTTTTGAATTTAGAAAAATAATTAAAATTGCTTCTCGTCATCTTGGAAATATTTTTAAAAAAATAATTTGCCCTGGAACAGACAGATTTTCCAAATCATTGATTATAACATGCACCATTTGTTCCGAAACCTGACACTCATTGTCAGGTTTGGGACATAAGCACGGTTTGGAACTTGAGTTCCCTGTATTTAATCCTTCCCTTTTAACGAAGCAAAGTTATAAATATATCATCGTACATCATTGAACTTATCAGATTACTCCAAATATAATTTATGCACTGCAGTTGGAGAAGATCAAAACAAGGAAACCCGGGTTAAAGTCACAGAACAGAGAATATGAATAGAAGGGAATTGAAACAGATTTCTCGGTATGAATTTTGTCTGTTCCTTTGAGTCTGAAAGGGATGTAAAAGTGTTGATTTCATGTAAATGTTCACAAATTATATTTTAAAGCTGTTAAATAAAATTTATGAAGTGAATTATAACGAAAAATCATCGTTTGTAAAGTGGAAGGAATATGTGATATAAGGACAATGAAAAGAAAGTAAAATATAGTGAACAAAATATGAAACCAGCATATTTATAATTTGGTTTTTAACTAACATCAATTAAAATTCTATTTTCAAAACAGTTAGAAAATGGCAATTTTTGAATTGAAGATTCTGATTTCCAAAAACTTTTCCTTTTTCAAAATTTGTCATTTTCAAACATTCAGCTTGGTGAAAAAAATTTCAGAAAAATGGTACGATATTGTTCGGTAATCATGGTTGTAAATCAAACAACAGTTTCAAAAACCTAACATTTCATAGGTAAAAATTAATTGCATTATAATATATAACCCTTAAATTAGGACTAGGCTAAAAAGGAGACATATAATTTACATATTCATCTATAACATTTAAAAAAATCTAAGTACTTAAGTTTGAAATCTGCCGTAACTATTATGCTTTTTAAATATTACAAAACTTGAATAAAAATTCCCAAAACACACTATTAATATACAGTTGTAGGCGATTATATCAATACAATGAAGACGGGCTTTTTATTAAAGAGTTTATTGTTAAATTGATATATTCTACGACGACGGTGATATTTATGATAATTTAAAATGTTTCTTATCAAAATTGGTAAATAAATAAATTTGATAAAAACATGTCATTTTCTATATACAAGAAGTGGGATTAATGAGCATCCTCGAGTTTGGTGTATTCTAATATCTTGAGTATTCCTAAAATATTGGCTTACCCTCTTTGATTATTTACAATTATGGAACATGTTTTAAATGAAAAAAAAACACGTATTAGATTGATTTTTATCGACGTTTCCGTGAAAGGTTGTCAGAGAAAAGGATTTAGAAAAAATAAATAATTCTTTCTTCTTTGAAAATAAGTTCCAGGGCTCAAGAGCACAAATATGTAAAATACACCTGCAGTATGGAAACGGTGCAACAAAATGGCCGTTTTACACCTTTTTTGAGTTAATTCCTCTCTACACTAATGTATTCTCTATGGTTCAAGTGCAAATATAGAATGTTAAATGATGTATCAAAATCCTAGAAGATTGGTAGAGTAAGGACCGGAGTCAAAATTTGGAAAACAGGTTTTATGATTTTTGTAAACTATAATTATCAAAAAGCTCTTTTTTCCTTTTAAAATAAATCTACAAAAACGTTGAGATCCCAAAAAACTGTGGGGTTCTGTTAAACAATTCTGTTTAAAATCTCTTTAAAGTCTTATGTTTTGTAAATAACCCTGAATATGAAGAGTAACCAGTATTTAATGACCACTACACTGATTAGACAATATATATTTACCTATAGTTTACCCAGCACACTAAATACACACTAACATCAATGGATACACAAAACCCTACATCCCCTACACTAGTACACAGTTTAAACACAGCTATACGGACTAATATACTTATATTCATTGCTCCTGTATCAGAAACACCCTATTATACTTATATTCCTTGCTCCTGTATCAGATACACCCTAATATACTTACATTCCTTGCTCCTGTATCAGATACGCCCTATTATACTTATATTCCTTGCTCCTGGATCATATACACCCTATTATCCTTGTATTCCTTGCCCTGTATCATATACACCCTAATATCATACTCCTTGCTCCTGTATCAGATACACCCTATTATACTTATATTCCTTGCCCTGTATCAGATACACCCTAATATACTTATATTCCTTGCTCCTGTATCATATACACCCTAATCTATATATAAATTTGGCGTGTCTGTTTGTCTGTCTGTCTGTTTGTTTGTTTGTTTGTTTGTTTGTATCCAATAAACGTCAAAACGGCTGAACCGATCGGGCCCAATTTTTTGTGGGACATCTAGGGACTCCAGGGAAGGTTTATGAATCATCAAAATTTCAAATATTTGTCTCCATCAAAATTCGATCGTCATCAAATTTTTTAAAATTTTGAAAATCCGCGAAATTTTTTGTGAAAATCCGCGAATTATTTTTGTTTTGTTTTACGATGTACACAAAGAGAACATGTTCACAATAAATTTAGGAGATGGGCGCGAAGCGCCCTCTAAGGCTAGAAAGAAGGGCGCGAAGCGCCTTGAATTTCTAGTATACTTATATTCCTTGCCCTGTATCATATCCACCCTATTTTACTTATATTCTTTGCTCCTGTATCATATACACCCTAATCTACTTATATTCCTTGCCCCTGTATCATATACACCCTATTATACTTATATTCCTTGCTCCTGTATCAGATACACCCTAATATACTTTTATTCTTTGCTTTTGTATCAGATACACAATATTATACTTATATTCCTTGCTCCTGTATCATATACACCCTTATATTCCTTGCTCCTGTATCAGATACACCCTAATATACTTACATTCCTTGCTCCTGTATCAGATACACCCTATTATACTTATATACCATGCCCCTGTATCAGATACACTCTGATCTACTTATATTCATTGCCCCTGTATCAGATACACTCTGATCTACTTATATTCCTTGCCCCTGTATCAGATACACTCTAATCTACTTATATTCCTTGCCCCTGTATTATACACAGCCTATTATACTTGAGAGGAAGCTGAATAGACAAGCCTTGAAGGGTTCTTCAGAGTTTCTATTTTCTATGATTCTAAAATCAGAAGGATTATACTTTTAGTTCTTTTATCTTGAACGTTTGTGATTATGTTTCTTTTACAATGTTGGTTGTTGGACAACAATCCAAATATTAATTAATTAGTAGCACTTTCTAGGATTTTTGACCCAATCTGATCCAGTTCTTTTTAAACACCTTTACCCAAAGTTTTAACAGAAAAACTGTTGATAGGAATCCAGACTTCAATCTAATGGCAAATTGCAGGAAACAAGAAAAGGAAAAAAAGGCAAATACCTCCATAAAATCCGAAAAAATTGCCCTGTTTCGCGAGCTAATCTACTCGCTCAAAACTATCCTATGTGTATCGAACCTTGTCATGATCTGCTATTGGGTGATCGCAACCATCATTAAGCCTCAGACTCTCTTGGATACAACTCTACTTCTTTTAGAATCTCTCCTCGATAGTAACAGTGCTCTTGATAATGAAGATACAGGTTCAATCTGTAAAAGATTGCCCAAGTTAGTTTTATTTATAAACAAAAGTAATATAATGATATACAAGATCGAATAAATGGAAGAATATACAAAATAGTTAATACGAGGATAAAAACCTTTTAAAGCTCATGATATAAAAAGAGATGCGATAATCTTCAATAACTCAAAACTCAGTTTAATTTGAATAATTCAATGATACAATGTGTAGATAACTAATACAAGCTCATTTATCAGGAAAAATATTTATATATATAGCCTAATTAGTACCTTAATGTGTCGTAAGCAATTCACAACAGTCTATATCAAAATATCTAATCTAACTGACTAGAAACAGAGAATATTGTGTAAATCTAACACATAGTTTACAAATCAAAACTGGTTTTGCTTCTGCACTACAGACTCGTACGTCCCTCCCTTCGACTTCAGGGGCTTCACATCTTTCGCGTGAAGAACTCAGGGCTGAGGGAATTCAGAATGTGACGAAACACAGTTTGTGCCCAAACTATGTAAAAAAATTGTTTAAAAAAACGAAACCAAGGCAAAAAAAATCTAGATCTTTTTCTGGTTTTTCCATTTTGAAAAAAAAATCCTCTAGAGTTAATTGCTGGGCTTGGCCTTTATGCACAACCTCAAGAATAGCTCCAAAAATGAAGGCGTGACCGAAAATGAAATTTCGTAAAACTGTTTGGCATTTCTCAATTTCTATCATTTAATAAGAAAAGTTAAAACTTTTTTTTAATTATTCGTTTTCATAAAGATGGTTTGGTTAGTTTGAATGGTGCTAATTTTTTTCTAACTGATTTGTTTACTCACATTTTTAACCTATTAAATTGATATCATGCCATAATATGACTTCTTTATAAATTTTTTTAATTTAACCTTAGAATTGGAAAATTTTAAAATTTTGAGAACGATCACGGGCAGCCGTAGTACATTTGAATTTCCGATCCAGGTCAACCTTTCCAGTCCCAGTTTGTACTGTACCGCACGGACATTCGGTAAGAAAACAATCAACAGGACTAGCCTGATGTGCAACCTTGTTGACCCGTTCAGACTTTATGCTTCATATAGGTTGAATTTACTTTCACTAAAGGGGCAGAGGTGCTCAGCTAGGTGCGTACGGTTATCAAAAAGATATTTCTTTCTTTAAATACAAAAATATTTATTATTTATTTCTCTGTCAGAACTTTCCACTTCAGTTTAGAGTTTTGTGGCATTTAATATCAAACCTAAATTTGGTTTGATCTGAAGAAACTTTAAATTTGACTAGTCACGTCATGTTGATCTTCAATTCAAACTTTTACAATTTTTCCAAAGTAGAAACATATTCACTAGATTTCGTACTTTTACGATTTTTGCAAAGTAGAAACATATTTACTAGATTTTTTACTTTTACAATTATTGCAAAGTATAAACATATTCACTAGGTTTTGTACTTTTACAATTTTTACAAAGTAGAAACATATTCACTAGATTTTGTACTTTTACAATTTTGCAAAGTAGAAACATATTTACTAGATTTCGTACTTTTACAATTTTTGCAATGTAGAAACATATTTATTAGAATTTAAATTATGTGGCAAAAGATGATGTCATGAGTTTGATTTTGTTAAACTTATTAAAATGTAATTTTTTTGAAAAGCATACCCTGCTTATCAAACATAAGATCATTAATTGCCTTTTTTTTAATAAATTCAGTCAAAAAATTATTTTAATAAGTTAGTTTAATTGTAAATATTTTTATTTCTGACATTCTTTTTTGGCAGCCGTAGAGTCTTTCGTCCAATGTTCACGAAAACTTTTGGTCGTTCTCAAAAATATATTTAGTTCACACGATGCCCATATCCGTTGGTAGGAGCCACAAAAATCCTTATAGCATTTAGGTAAAATACGGAAGTTTGCAGCATTTATTGCAAAGTTTAATCTTTTCAAAGTTTTAGAGTTTTCATGTCAGTTCATCTTCTTCTTCGGCTCAAACTTTAAGAATAAATATTAAACATTTGCAAAATAAAGAATTCTTTTTTGTATAATCCTATTTTCTTGCTTTCTGCCATAAGCAAAATAAGATTTAAGGAACAACAGAAACGTTTTATTTTGAATTTTGGTTATAATTAATTATAAAATATGTAATGAAGGAACTGCTTGGAGCACATCTATATTTATAAAGTTCCAATCTCTGTCTGTCTGTTTGTTTTTCCGATCATAACTCAGTTATATCCCTGGACCGAATTGCCTCAAATTATTTTGAAACAGTTTCTAGGCGCTTAAGTTTTATGTGGAAATAAAGTTAAAATTGCAATTTACGACAAAGCGTGGGTGAACGGCGGAAGTAACTATGAGTAAACTAACCAACGCTGGTTTACCAAGCTAATCATGAATAAGATAAAAACTCAGGAAAGGAAAGTTCTTAGAAGATTCTCAGAAGTCTCATTTAGTAGCACTACTTAACTCTTGCACACTCTATTAGAAGTAATTGAAATATACTTTTGTTTATTAAACTATTATAAATATGTCAAATTTTCATGTAACAAAAATACAAATTTCTTAGAGTGTTATTTTTTTTCATTAGTTTTATGTTACTATAACAGCTGAAGAACCAGACGTAGCCCAGGTTTATATTTTTAATCATTACCTATACTTACTCAACCGCTGCTTTTCATTAGTTTTATGTTACTACAGCTGAAGAATCAGACGTAGCCCAGGTTTATATTATTATTCATGAGCTATACTTACTCAACCGCAGCTTTTGGTATTAAAACATGGTTTTAGCTAAAGTGTCCTGTGTTGCCCGTAGAAAACTTGAAAATTTCAAAAGGCATTGTCAATATCACTCTCATCTATATATGGGTTCCCTAAAAAAAGTCAGCCTATTTGGCCCAGCCGTTTAGCAAGGTATTAATTCTGTCTTAAGTAAAAACAGAATTTTAAAAAAAATTCTAAATGAACAGAAAGATTCGTCAAGTTAATCGTTAAAAAGGAAAAAATTAAAAATTCAATAAAGCTATTACAATTAATTTAATATTTTTAAAAATACTTTATCTGTTTAATTTATTTACCATTTTTTAACACAAACTAAAAACTGGAATAAAAAAAATATTAAAAATAAATGTTGTAAACCCTGGGTATAGAAAATAAATAAAAAAGTATTGTTTGTATTTGAGCCTGAAAGGTCCATTGATCTAGGCATACAATATGAATACTAATATATATATATATATACACTGTATACCAGGATACAATAGGATGTATATTGGAACAATAAATATAAAGAGAATAATAGATAGAGACAAGGATATATTGATTGATTGATGGATTTTTGGCATTTAGGGGAATGCCTTCACATATAGACAGCTTTGACGAGCAATGCTAGTCAAAAATATCCTACAAAATACATACATATTTGAGATTTATTGTTACGGAGACTGTACATATTTGGGATTTAGCGTTAAAGAGACTGTACTATTTATGTTAAAGAGACTGTACATATTTGTACTTTAGCGTTAAAGAGACTGTACATATTTGTGCTTTAGTATTAAAGATACTCTACATATTTGTACTTCAGCGTTAAAGAGACTGTACATATTTGTGCTTTAGCGTTAAAGGGACTGTACATATTTGTACTTTAGTGTTAAAGAGACTGTACATATGTGTGCTTTAGTATTAAAGATACTCTACATATTTATACTTCAGCGTTAAAGAGACTGTACATATTTGTACTTCGGCGTTAAAGGGACTGTACATATTTGTGCTTAAGCGTTACAGAGACTGTACATATTTGTGCTTTAGCGTTAAAGAGACTGCACATATATGTGCTTTAGCGTTAAAGGGACTGTACATATTTGTGCTTTAGCGTTAAAGGGACTGTACATATTTGTGTTTTAGCGTTAAAGAGACTGTACATATTTGTGCTTTAGCATTAAAGAGACTGTACATATTTGTACTTTAGCGTTAAAGAGACTGTACATATTTGTACTTTAGCGTTAAAGAGACTGTACATATTTTTACTTTAGCGTTAAAGAGACTGTACATATTTGGGCTTAGCGTTAAAGAGACTGTACATATTTGTACTTTAGCGTTAAAAAGACTGTACATATTTGTACTTCAGCGTTAAAGGGACTGTACATATTTGTGCTTTAGCGTTAAAGAGACTGTACATATATGTGCTTTAGCATTAAAGGGACTGTACATATTTGTGCTTTAGCGTTAAAGAGACTGTACATATTTATGCTTTAGCGTTACAGAGACTGTACATATTTGTGCTTTAGCATTAAGGGGACTGTACATATTTGTGCTTTAGCGTTTAAGGGACTGTACATATTTGTCCTTTAGCATTAAAGAGACTGTACATATTTGTGCATTAGCATTAACAGGATTGTAAACGAAATTTCAAGTGAACCTGCATTCTTAAAATATTTTTTTCTGATTTATAACAGTATATATACTTTAAACCTTTGTCTGATATCTTTTGCTAACTAAACATTGATTGTTTTTTAATTGTGGCTTCCTTACGAAAGGAACTTGCTGAAATATGTATTAAGTATGCAAATACACTATGGGAAATCATATAATTCATCTTTTCAATTGTTACATAGATAAAGGCTTCAAGAGTACTGTTGTGAATAGGATCGATATACCAGTCCATAAATAACTTTAAACTTGAATTCAACTTGAGGGGAAAAAAATAAAGATTAATTTGGTACACACGAGCTTCGTTCAGAATGAAAATAAAAAATATTGTTGAATCCAAAAACAATAAATAATTAAACCATGATTTCATAACTTAAAAGAAAATAGGTGGAAGAATTTTATTCATCTGCTGCAGAACCATTCTTAATTTTAGAATTCTGAAAATTTTGTGAATTTTAAGAAAAATTATTCAACGGATTTTTGTATTTTTTTTTTGACGCCAAACTTATATATAAGTTTGTTAAATGATCGTACTGTTGATTATAATTCCTAAATATATTTTGGGTCTAAAGAAATGTTTAGAAACTTTAGAACAGATTATTTAGTTAGTTTGACAGTTGGAGAATAGATGGACTGGGAGAACTACGAACTCACCATGATTTATATTTTTGACGCTCAAAAATAAGATTTATTTCGATATAAATGGTTTTTTTTGAAAAAATGTCGTATTTAGATGGTTGGTCCAATATCTCTCATTCTAACAAACTTTTCGTTTTACCTTATTTAGGTCTCAGCTCTCTGGCAACTAATGTTAAACTTTGATCCCCACACCCTGTACCCTTCACCTAAACATACAAAGAAACGCCCCTGTGTTACAGGGACTGTTAACCCTATCCCTGCTGGGGTACTTGAAAACCAGGAAAACCAG